GTTTGCTTATCGAGGAAGCCGGCGGTCTGCGCGAACATGGAATCTGATGAGGGTAGGCAACCTGAGCAACTTCACGCTGAACCCATCTTGGTACATGCTACTATGTTCGGGATGTCAGCTTTTCATTGGTTTTGCCTATGTAACTGTTTTGGCAGTAGTGTGGCTTCCGCTCACCTGGAGACGTCTCAAACCAGACTTGTGGAACTACTAGAAACTCATGCGCGCTTACTACCCGTGGTCGTGGATCTGTCTCTGTGTTGCCGGATTGTTTTCACTAACTTATGTAAATCAACTCTTGATCGTACGAGACGAATTCGCTCTGCTCATTTAAAGAATTCGCTTACGAACCAACAGAAGGAGGAGCGAATTGCTCGTGATCCCAGTAAGTGCTTGACGAATATCTCTTACGTACAATTTGATGCGTTGCGAGTAGAAGCATTATCACTTGGGATTGATTACATTTCCCGCTAGAAAGCTGGATGGCTTGTTTATAGAAGTCCAATTTGAGGACGTTTTTGGCCAGTTAAAGGAGCTCCAACCAACCAGCCCTGATTAGCTTATTTGGTTCAGAATCAAGTTAACGGATATCGCCCATGGGGTGCAAACCATGCCAGTTAATGAAAAATGCGTCATCACAGCTCGACGTTTTCAAGCCTTACGTAAACTACAAGCTAAGAACGTAGTTGTACTGGAATTAGCTAAAGGTTCAGGAGTGGTGATCACGAACAAAATCGACTACAGTCAGAAGATGTGCACCATACTCAACGATACGACTAAATTCGAACGGCTCACTGAAGTAGGTGACCTAACCAATGTCGAAACGCGCATAGTTCGTAACCTAGAATTGCTTCTCCAACACTGCATGATCGAGTGTGATGCATTTACTAGCTTGAAGCCGTGTGGTAGCACTATTCCACAGTGTTATGGGTCCCCAAAGACACATAAGAGGGAAGTGTCACTCAGCCTAATCCTTTCAATGATGAACGTGTCCCAGCATAAACTCGCTCGTTGGTTATTGTAGTTGCTATTTCCTCTGAAACAACAGTGCAATCCGTACGGACTTAAAGACTCGCTTCAACTCATCAGCGACCTGGACGAACTCAGTGTGTCAGACAAAGTCATATGTTCCTTGAATGTAAAGTCCTTATTTACCAACCTCCCGATACATCAGACGGTTGATTAGTGTGCAAATTAGCTGAAAACGGTGGCTGTTCGCTACCAATTCCGAGTGAATTGCTAAGAGAATCTCTGCTATTGTGCATGGAGAATGTGGATTTTCACTTCCGGAATACACCGTACCGTCAAATTGACGGCGTAGCAATGGGGAGTCCATTAGGTCATGTTCTCGCTGATTTCTTCATGCTGATAGTAACGATAAGCATTTCTACGGAAATAGCCCAAGTGCCTTACTACAAACGATATGTTGATGATATCTTGACTTTCTGTTCGTCGGAGCAACAGCTCACACATATGGTTGAACGACTCAATGGTGCTCATGCTAGCTTACTGGTTACATGCGAAGTAGAGCAGAACAGTTGTCTGCCATATCTGGACATATTCATAAGTCGCAGGGATGATGGATTGATTAAGAAGTCCATTTACCGTAAATCAACTTGGTCCGGTCAGTACCTGCACTTCACCAGCTTCACAACAATGCGGTAAAAACGGACACTTGTGAGAATTCTAGTTAGTCGTGCCAGACGAATTTGCTCGGCCGACTGTCTGAACGATGAGCTAGGGTTAGTTACAGCAACACTAATGACGAACGGCTACTCTCAAAGTTTTATCGAGAAACACAGGCAACTGCGAGGGCCAAAGGACTTGGTGCACACGGAAGCCAAGAAGAAAGTGTATATCGAGTTACCTTTCAAAGGTGACTTAGTCACGCTGAAGACAACTAAGCGTATAATCCCTGCTGCACAAAGAAGTTACTATGCTGCACAGGTTGTCGTCATCAACCGGGACCGAAATTTGGCCATTTCTCCAACGAAGGAAGCTCAACCAATTGGGACCAACTCACACTGCGTATACCGATTCGTATGTGAATTCGGAAACAGTTACGTAGGCAGAACCAATGAAAAGCTGACATCCCGAACATAGTAGCATGTACCAAGATGGGTTCAGCGTGAAGTTGCTCAGGTTGCCAACGCTCGTCAATTTCCATGTTCGCGCAGACCGCCGGCTTTCTCGATAAGCAAACAGCTATTAGAATCGGATCACCGGATAGAGTTGGGCTCAGTGGTTAAAGTTGTGTTACGTCACACTACTCCCCGCTTCCTTCGGTTTGCTGAGGCTGTCGCTATAAGCTGGATGAAGCCAGCCTTGTGTGTTCAGAAACAATTATTTGTCAGCCTAAAGCTGTCTTGGACGTAGGTGTGAACTTCCGTCATTCCTTCTGCACCTCAAGCTTGTCTGGTTACACCCACTGTTAGCTACATCTATGCATATCGGTCATTGTTAATGGTACTGAGGATACATTACGAAATGCATGCATTTACCAGTCTTCGTCTTCTTTCCGTGCTTTTCAAATTATTGTATAGAACTGATTGCTTTACATAATTAAGTAAATAAATAAATAATTGTTATATTCTCGAAGTTGTGAGACACTGACCGTTTACTTGTCTGATGATTTCGTGCAATATAATCGATTATTTCGATGTACTCATGAGTAGGAGATTTTTGATGTAATTAAGTGAGGTTCTTCGCAGCCAGTTTCCAAATCAGGTAGTCGTCCACATGCCCAGACTGCAGTTTCAGCCTGTTGGGCATCATCAGTAGTGCGCATCCATCAGGCTTCGAACCCATGACCCTTGGCCCAGTGGCATAAGCTGCTGACTGGCGGTTCAAGCCGCTGGTGGTCATGGGTTCGAATCCTGATGGATGCGCACTACTGATGATGCCCAACAGGCTGTAAATGCAGTCTAGTGCTTTTCCGGCCATGTGGAGGACTATCTGATTTGGAAACTGGCTGCGAAGAACCTCACTTAATAATCGATTATTGCCAAAAGAGTTTTGAGTTGTTCAATGGTTCCAACGGAGTGGTACCAGCGTTTTGTCACTTAAAAGCATCATCCTCATCAGTATGCACGTTAGCTAGAGGTGATAAGTACCTCAGCTACTGTGCCGCACTTAAAAGCAATAATGGTGGAGAGTTTGTGAGTGGGAATGAATGTAGGTATAGCCGGAATTTCAAGCAGATAATTATGGATATCTAAGGAACCTCTTCTGGGGGCCTGTTTCTATGCAGATTAATCGCCCGAAAGGTGTCATTCGCACTTCCACGTCTCATCTGGCTTTTTGCGGAATTTACTTATGCTAAGTAAGTCACCATCACTTTGACTGGTATTTTGGCCGTTGACGTATGCAGGTAGGCCGTCAGTTCGTTTGCACCAGTAGTTTTGATGCCTGGGACACGACCAGACATATATGAAGGCGAATAGTTTAACATTGCCTTCCCTCGTTACAATATGGCACAAACAGGAGTGTGCACGGCTTCAGCCTTGGACATCTAGTAAACAATTAATATCAAGTACAAACGTAAGATGCTTTCAAAATAGTGAATGTTCAATCAAAATGCATCCCAAATGGACTCAGAAAGTACCTACTGGCCACGGCAGAAGCAACTGCGATCAAGCGGCTAAAGCTGGAACTGTGTAACCAGCGTTTATTTGTGCAAACGTTAACCCTACCGTGGCCATAGCCTGGTCAGTTAATTTTAGGTGTAGCGGTATATGGCGATGGGTTCAAATGGAGATTGATTACCACCGATCCTCCGGTCCAAGCATACACCATAGAGCACTGCATTGCTAGTGTTAGCTCCAGTTCCAGTGATTATACATCTCATAATTGTAAATACTTGACGTGATTTAGCCAAAAGCGTTTTCTTCGCAGTTTTCCTTTTGACATCCAGTTGTGCATAATTATTGATTTGACAACGGTTTTAACTATTGTTGTGCATATTTTACGATTGTTTCCTTCTTTTAGTTACATTCAGTGCACATTAACAAAAGGTGAGAAACACCTCTGCTATGGTGCCACAACACAAGAAGATAAGATACGAAAACTACGGGGTACTAAGCGATGCAGGATACCAAGCTAAAGAACTGGTACTAGTATGCTATGTATCATGTTATCCATTGAGCATGCGATCGTCTTTAGAGCGGAAAGCTACGTGGGAAGGGAAAAACAAAGAAACAATACAAAGTCCATTGGAGTCGGATTCGCACCACCACTGCCTTCGCAGCCGTGGTCGAACATTACAAGCTCCTTTGATTTTGCCGAACTGATGGGTCAGGTTTCGCAACTGTACGGGAGGGCTGAACGCACGGTTGCGCCATAAAAATTTCTGATTTAACACTCGAATGATGTCATGGAAACGCCCCAGTTGGCGGAGATTGGCAAAAGTGACGCGAGATTTGCAATCCCGTTTATGATCCCATCTCCTATTCCACAGACGCTAATAAAGCTACCTAGATGCTTTACTTTCTGGACGACTTCTAGCTGACCACATCTAAGGGTCAGTGCAGCGGACAATAATCAGAATATCACATCCGATTCAGCACAATATCTTTCAGTGAACAGAAACACATGTTTAACATTTCCGTATCTCGGTCTTTGGATTCTTGGTCATGAAATCAGTTGTGTATTGCAGCTGCTTCTTACGCGCTTTTCAGCAAAGCACTTAAGGCCAAATCTGGTGGATAATCAACAAGATGTTGCATTAGAGGCGGATAGGATTAAACACACCTCAGTTAATCTGGATTAATACCACTGCGGTTACGCAGTGCATAATGAATTCTCATGGGGTGAATTCCCAAAGCAGAAAAGTCACACTAAAGCTTGATGACATGCAAAGTAGTGGAACTATAACATTCGTTTACGTTGATTTTACATTGCGTATCTTAAGTTGCCTTATTGTACTGTAAAGTATCAGACTGGCTAACTTCTGCTGTTTTCTGGAAAATTGTACTAACTAATTTTCGACATATCTGTTATTACAGTACCAAAAACTGCAGGTCAAGCTGAAAAACTTCGTCTGGCTCATTTAATGACATATGGGGAAGTGCAAAAACCTAGACACCCGGCAGAGATAAACCCGCAAAACGGACGTTTCGCTTATCTTAGACGACGCATAGAGGGAACCAAGAAACTGGCAAAAGACGTGACTGGTGAACCGAATGAAGAAGACAGATTCTCTGAATGTAGGTATATATTGCTTACCAATTCTTTACTAACACGACACAGTTGTTTTATGCTATCTGATATGATAAATATCCTATTTACAAATGTAATAAGCTAATGCACACTATATACAGCATACATATTTGTTGTACTTGCGGGTGGCACTTCTAAGTGGTGTTAAGCGTACTGCTTGCAGTGTGGTATATTTGGTAACACACTAGCACTGATCTCCTCTGAACATCAGCTAATAAATGTTTTGAAAACCGCCCGTAACCAGTCTCCACCCCTGAATCGGTTTACCCTGATACCCTTGCAAGTATCATACATCCAGTGCTATCTATTATGGGCCAACTGTATCTTCCACATTTTGAAAATTGCCCAAGTAAGCAATATGACTCTGAGTAAGCACAATCGAAAATAAGTTCAAATCCAACTACTTTGCAAGTAGCTGATGCATGAATTGCTCTACAATTTAGTGTGAGGTTTTTACTTGACGTTAGGTTTAGTCAGACTAAGGAGTTATCTTCATTTCGGAGCCCTTATGGTGCACCTACATCTCAATATGCACACCTAAGTTGTACTGCAGTAACCCATATATGCCTGTTCCTGCTGTCGTATGTGGCTAATTCTGGTTATGCCAGCCGATTGACAAGTTGTTTGTGTACCTTGCAGCGCCGGCTACATTTACTAATAATTACTCAGCTTTTGATGGACATAGAGATAACATGGAGTTGTTATCACTAACTAACTAACAATGCAAATATCTTACGGAGAAAATAGATATCAGGATCAATTCCCTACTCGGAATGGAATACTAAGAAGGGAAAACAGGTTGACTGAGGAATTTAATACCAGAGACAACACTGCCGTATAGTGTTCGAAAGGGTTTCGGTTATATTTATACGTCTATCAGAAACTCGTAGCTGGTCCAGTGACTGAAGATGTTAGCCTAAAGTGCATTTTTGCCTACAAATGCATCCAGTGTACTAATTAACGGTTCTCTTCCAACATACATTTTAGGCAGATTGGCAAACAGATCTTATGTAGTCCACTTTATTACATGTGACGGAATTTAGCCCGTTAGACCAAATATATCCCCAAAATCTGAAAGCATGCATGGTGGCAAGTGTACTGGGCATGTGAAAACATCCCGCTGTCTATATCCTACCCTAAACGTGCATCTTTGTACGATGAACTACATCTAAAAAGTCCGCTAGTTGCTGTACTTTCAAACGGAAGGTCAGGCTCGCGGTTTACAGAAATTTGGCCTTTAAGTCTGGTGATCGTCATCATCACTCTATACATTAGTGAGGAGTGAGAAATGTCCTAGCTAATTTGAGGCCATACACTTCATTCAGGTAGCAAGCAAAAAGAAAAAGCAATAAAGGAAAAAGCAAACTATGAAGGGTCATTTTGAAGCACATGTTGTGTGAATGGATCGCGACGCGCAATCTCAATGTAGACCACCATCCACATTGAAGTGAATCTTGGTCATTGCTATCACTGGGAACGTAGCTGGTGATGCAGATGAACATTGGGTGTTGCCCGCCGAAAACAAACAGTATACCACAACCGGTTTCGAACATATTATTTCTCTTCAGGCAGAAATAGCAGACATCGAACCCGGGACCACAAGAGTATTGGTCAGCAACCTTTACCACTTCGGCCACTGGGTCTCGACGGTCAACGCCTGTCACAATAGTTAATGACTAATTCTTTGCTTATGTTGAAGCACTCGTTTTGAGAATAAATAAATTCGTATATCTGCCGACAAGCGGTATGCGGCCCCCACCTGGTTGGGGTCACAGAAATGGGGGTAATGACTGGTTGAAGACCTTGGAAGCCATGGCTAAAGATCGATGCCAGTGGCGGACGTGTGCGTCGGTGTGTTGACGTGTCCCTCCTCACTCGCCTAAAAGAATTCAAAAACGGTGAGTGGCAAACTGGGCAAAAAATTGCTTTTGTTCTTGTTATTTTATTATACATACTGTTTTCCTATTCAGTCATGATTCTGATGACACAATATCTGCACCACAGATTATATATATATATATATATATATATATATATATATATATAAGCCGGAGCGACTCTAATTATTTTGGCCTGTTTATAATAAATATTCAGAACTAGGTCGTCGTTGGGAGCGGAGGATAAGTGGGATGAGGCGGGATGAAGTAACTCACAACACAAGTCGTTGTGGTCGGTTCTTCGTCAAGCTAACAATCAGGTCCATCCAAATGTGTTCGGTGCTTTTTTGACTGTGGCGATTGGTTAACACGAGTCACGGTCTGTATGACGTTGCACGGGACCTGCGAGTGAACAAATGTACATCTTATAAGGCGAACCAGTGATTTGGTCGCTTGTACACATTAAGCCCGTGTCCTTTACAGACCCGTGGTCTTACTTACAATATTGCCGACAGGTTAATCGTACCGATGGCCTCCATCGGAAATTGGATGATTCCACTGTGGGGTTCGGTTCGTGGAACCATTACACTGAGCGCATGAATGGTTTCTATTTCCTGGACTGATGCAATCGTCATAGACAAAGATACGAATTAATTCCTAGCTTGGTTACTCGCGATTTGCCGTGCACCAAGCAATGTGCTAAACTGGTCTTCAATCAGTGTAACCCCGAACCATCAGTTATTGTGCAGCGACTTAAATTTACTGCCTGAGTTCAGGGGGCGAGAAAGTCAGTTGCTCTCTTCATTGCCGAGCTTCAGAACTTGACAGAATATTGTGGTTTTGGCAACTGCCGGAACGACGTGATCCTGGATTGTCTGGTGGTCGGAGTGAAAAACCTTCGCACTCAACGCGGCCTGTTGGCTGATAACTCATTGACGTTGGAAAGTGTCTATGATGTTGCTGCGATCATGGAGGCTGCTGAAAATTATGCCTAGCTTCTGCAGAATTTACAGCTCAATTCAAAGCCATATGCTGAAGATGTCTCGGCCGAAATCAACACAGTTGATAAAAACACCACGTGCTCGTTCAACTGCTGTCGCTGCGATTTGCAGCACAGCCATCTCAGAGCATGCAATCGTGCTCAGACAACTTTGAACAAATGCCAAAGACGTGAGCATTTGGCCCTTATGTGCCAGTTCTGTGCAAACGCAGCTCCCCAGTGGTGAACAATCAAATTGTTGCTACCGAACCCCAATAATATGGATTACACACAATTACCCTAGGCGCACAACCACCATTGCACATACGGCTTTGTGGTAACCAGATTCCAGCGCTTTTCGAAATTGATACGGGCAGTGCAGCAAGGTTGTGCAACGAGCGAACTTGGTCACAAAGATTGACGCCGAAGAGCCACACCAAACTGCGTGTGGTGCCCCTGCGGTTGCGTACATACACTGATGGTGAAGTGCAACTGTTGGGGGTGCAAAACGTTACGATATCATATGGAGGGTCGACAACCAGAGGAACCATTTACATCACACAAGAAGATTGTCCAAGCCTGCCAGGCCGCAACTAGATCATTCAGGTTCCAGTTCTACAGATAAGCCATCTTTCCTTACCCTCGGAGATATCAACACTGTGTCAGCAATATACATCAGTATTTACTATACTGGAGTAAGGAAAGTTCACTGGTGGACAACTTAATATCTACGTTCTACTTGGCACACAACCACGATTCATCAAGGCTCGATCGATGGCGTATGTGTTGCGATTGAAGACAGAAGAGAATCTTGATTGCCTGCAGGAGAGTGGCGTCATAGAGCCAGTGAAGTTTTCGGGTTAGGCTACACCAATTATTCCAGTACCCAAGCCTGATGCACCAATTCGTATATGTTGTGACTATAAAATTACCATTATTTACAGTACTCCAGTTGTAAAATGCCCTATCCCAAATTTTGAGGGCGTTTACGCTCAGCTCGGTACCAACAGATATTTCTCAAGCTTAGACCTTGAGCACGCTTTTCAGCAGCTCGAGCTACACGAAGAAGTCAAAACCATAGCAGAGACCAGCACTCATCGCGATTTGTTCAGATTTAGCAGACTAGCATTCGGCATTCACTTGGCATCGTCCATTTTCCAGCGAACTATAGAGAACTTCGAAACTGTTTCGCCTAAAGCTTTTGTGTACCTACACGACATCCTGGTTCCAGGGGCAACAAATGACGAAAATCAATTAACTCCGTGTTGTTCTGGACCGCCTGAAGGAGAATGGTTTCAAGCCGCAACGCGAGTAATGCATATTCTTGGCTCCCCACGTTGATTATGTGGGTTTTCGGATGTGTGCAGAGGGAATGAAGACGATTGATGGGAAAATCAAGCCCATCCTTGAGGCACAACAACCAAGAAATTAACACGTATTGCGGTCGTTCTTGTGGATGTACTTAGGGTCTGTTCAGAAATCAGCCACAGTGTTACCCGTTTCATTGTTTGTTATGCAAGGATACTCAGTGATTTTGCTCCGCGACGGAGGAATTGGCTTTTCGTCAAGCTAAAATGACATTGGCCAGTCCAACGGTTTGGGCCCACTTTGACCCCGAAAAGTACATGACGCCGACATGTGATCCACCACTGTACTGGGTCGGAGCCATCCTGTTACAATCTGACGCGAGCGGAGTGAATGAAGCGGTTGCGTTTGATTCTCGGATCCTATCACAGACCAAATGAAATTACGCCCAAATTGACAAGCAGGCTTTCTCAGTCGTATTTGAAATTGTACGGTTTCACCTATACCTATTTGGACAGAGATTTGCAATACAACCAAACCACAAGCCATTACTGCGATTTCTGGATGAATCGAAAGCGATACCCCAAATTGCATCGCCCCTTAGGCTTCACTGGGTCCTGCTATTCGTTGGCTATCAGTTTCAATTGAAATATCTTCCCGGGAAGGAGAATCAGTCTGCCAATACTCTCAGCCGACTTTCACTACGGGAGGTTCTGAGCCACATGCCAGCTTTGAGAGAACTAGTAAAAGTAATATTTTGGTTGGATGATTCATGGGTGACAACAACGAGGATAAAGTCGGAAACAAGAAGTAACTCTGAACTGTC